GAACGGCGCGCGGCAAGCAGCGAAAGGAGAGGCGAACCTTGGATGCGAGGATGACCGAATGAAGAAGCTTGGGGGGGGGGGGGGGTTAGGGTTTAGGGTTTAGGTTCAGGGTTCAGGGTTCAGGGTTCAGGGTTCAGGGTTTAGGGTTTAGGGTTTAGGGTTTAGGGTTTAGGGTTCAGGGTTCAGGGTTCAGGGTTCAGGGTTCAGGGTTCAGGGTTCAGGGTTTAGGGTTTAGGGTTTAGGGTTTAGGGTTTAGGCTGGTGGGTTTAGGGTTTAGGTTTAGGGTATGGGCTCGGAGGTTCGGGGCTTCAAAGCCAAGTAGGTTCGGTCTTTCCAGCCGATTGAGTGAAAAAACTTGCTGATTCTCGGTAGGAAGATACGAATTGTTAAGAACCCCCAAAAAACACATATTATTCTTCCTTGGGTAATGTAGGGATGTTTCCTTTTTTTTTTTGGGGGGGGGGGGGGGTCTTCAGCAAATAATAGGAAAGGGGTACTCCTGCAGACCCAGGAACAGTCCAAGAACTGCAGCAAAGTTGGCACAAAGAAAGACCCACGGCCCAAAAAAGCACTCCGCCTGATAGGCGCCACGAACATGAAATCCTGTTTGTAGAGTTTTAAGGTCAATTGAAAGGCCTCTCCTGCTTGATTCAGGGAGGCCCTGGGTTCTGATACATCCTTGCAAGATGCATGCCAGCTGCAAACCCCAAAATACCAAAGAACCCCTAGAGCCTAGCGTACTGATGAAAAGTACGGTCCTGAAAGGGCCGTTTAGTACATACTTGGGCATCAAAAGGGGTTCCCATACAACCCTAAACCCTAAACCCTACAGGGCCTATATTAAGCATATGGATCCGGGGGCTTGTGGAGAGCGACTCTTGAATAGCAATGAAAGCAAAACATCTACCCATCGAGCCTGGAACTCCGGCTGGCGTGGCCTATACCGGAATGGCAGCGGGAGCACACCATAAGCTCCTGTAGGGCTTAGGATCAGGATTTAGGGTATAGGGTTTGGGGGTTGCGGTTTAGGGTTTAGGGTTCAGGGTTTGGGGTTTGAGGCTTGGGCTTAAGGTTCGGGGTTTTGTAAGTTCGGCTCAGGGGGTTAGGAGGTGTAGGATTTGGGGGTGCAACGAGAGGGGTGAAGAGAAGGGCTTCAGAGCATGGTGCAGAAGGGCTTTCGGGTTTAGGGTTTACGGTTCAGCATCTCATTTTCTAGCTAGTTAGTCAAGCAGCTTTTCAAGCCACGGGAAAATACCCGCCCGCTCAAAGGATCCCATAACAGTATGAAAATACGAAGTTCAATCGATCCAGTCGCAGTAGTCCCTGAACAAATGAGAAGAAAAAACAAAGCTCTGCCCAGCCCCCTACGCCCCCCGAAACCCTAGGGCCCTAGGGCCCTAAACCCTCTACCTCTTGCCCCAAACCCTAAGGGCCGTGCCTATGCCCAATAAGGAGGCGGCCTTATTGGGCATAGGCACGCCTCCTTATTGGGCATAGGCACGCCTCTTTTACGGGAGGCGTGCCTATGCTCAATAAGGAGTTTAAGGTCTCTGTATATAGGTAAGAGCGGCTTAGGGTTTAGGGTTTAGGGTTTATAGGGTTTAGGGTCTAGGGTCTAGGGTCTAGAGTCTAGGGTCTAGGGTCTAGGGTCCAGGGTCCAGGGTCTAGGGTTTAGGGTTGAGGTTGTAGGGTTTGCTGCACCTTATGGGACTGCTGGGCTTTGTGCTGTCTGACATTCGCCCTACTGCACACGGACACACGGAAACAGGAAGCTGCCACGGAAACACATCGCCACTTGGGCGGGAACAGTTCCAGTAAACTCCAAACATTTTGGAATGGTGTAAGGATGATCAGAGCTGGGATTGCCTTTAGTACACCTTTTGGGGCATTTGGAGAGAATGGCGTTCCAACTTTTGGGGTGCCCTAAACCCTAAACCCTAAACCCTAAACCCTAAACCCTGGAACAGTTTACGATCTTCGAGAGCTCCTAGGCCAAAGGCAAGGGCAGCTGCGGCCGAACCGGCCAGCAAAGACACTGTCCAGCCAGACTGCAGCAACAGCGACAAATACCTGGGCGTGTTAGGGTTTAGGGTTTAGGGTTTAGGGTTTAGGGTTTAGGGTTTAGGGTTTAGGGTTTAGGGTTTAGGGTTTAGGGTTTAGGGTTTAGGGTTTAGGGTTGAGGGTTGAGGGTTGAGGGTTTAGGGTTTAGGGTTTAGGGTTTAGGGTTTAGGGTTTAGGGTTTAGAGTTTTGGCTCAACCGCAACCTTAAGATTTGCATCTGTTGGGTTCGGATTTCGTCTTGGGCTTGTGGAAAAATAGAGCATGTCTCAGATACTTCCGCAGGCCCGATGTCTGCCACGTGTGGGAGAGGAAGACGTCGAAAGATGCAACTTCGGTAGACATGCCCCAGAGCCGCTCGCAGGCCGCAAGATCCAGATCTACGGGCGATCTGCGCCAGAGCCACGGTCTGCAAAGCGCGGTCGTCAAGGGTATGGCGCGGAGCAAGTGCTTCGAACTGTCCTAGCTGATGGTTGGGAGAGTATTCACGAAGTTGAGCTTCTATTCCTTATTGAGTTTAAGCACCCCTCATAAATGCAACATGCGATTCCTTGTTGGGCTTAAGTACCCCTCACACATGCAAAATGTTATGCCTTGTTGGGTTGAAGTACCCCTCATACATGCAAAATGCTACCCCACTACTGACACAGGATCGTCCAGGTGCAAGGAGGCGCTTCGGCGCCTGCGGCGCGCGCCGCCGCCTTCGGGAGGTGCATCTTTTCCTTGGTGGCGCAGGAAGCAAATTGTTTATTGAATTAGAGGTACCCTTTTAGGGTTTAGGGTTTAGGGTTTAGGGCTTAGGGTTTAGGGTTTTGGGTTTTGGGTTTGGTTGCTTGTAGAAGGGAGGGCATAACATGGTACCACTCAGCTCCCAAGTCTCCTCCCTCCGCCGGATCTTGGACTGGTTCAAAGCAGCCGTCAGGCTGATTGCTGATGCCTTACTGTTGGTTCGTAGGGAATGGGCCGGAATCAGGTACCCTATATAATCCCTTAAAGGGTATATATATATATATTATATTTATTTATTTATATTTATATTTATATTTATATTTATATTTATACTTATATTTATATTTATATTTATATTTATATTTATATTTATATTTATAGGGCCCGAATTCCCTCACCCTAAACCCTAAACCCTAAACCCTAAACCCTAAACCCTAAACCCTAAACCCTAAACCCTAAACCCTAAACCCTAGACCCCTAAACCCCTCATTCCCTGCTAGCCAATAGTAAGATGCATGTGGGCGTGGCATCCACGAACTCCTTCGCCGTGCTGGCAGACCCGGAGCAGCCGCATGCATCGTTCCGGCAGTAGCTTTCGCCATGCCCCATTGCAGCAAGCCTAAACCCTAAACCCTAAACCCTAAACCCTCAAACCCTCACACCCTCAAACCCTAGAACCCTAAAATTGCGGAGCTTCCTTCCCTCTGAGGTTTCACGAGCCGAACCTGACTTTGCAGCCGGAATTTTTCGGTTTGGGGTTTAGGGCTTGGGGTTCATCTGCACGAGCTGCATGGAGCCATACTTTTCTCCCAGGGTCTAGGGTCTAGGGTCTAGGGTCTAGGGTTTAGGGTTTAGGGTTTAGGGTTTAGGGTTTAGGGTTTAGGGTTTAGGGTTTCGGGTTTTCCTCTCAGATGACGGGCTCAATCTTGTTTCTCCGCTCTTGAACAATTCAGAGATCGCCCCTTCGATCCTTCGATAGCATGGTGCTTGCTGCAGATCCATAGCCTTTCGAGGCTTCTGGAACACTGCGTAGCAGACAACTCTCGCAATTGCAGGTTTAGGTTTTAGGTTTTAGGTTTTAGGGTTTAGGGTTTAGGGTTTAGGGTTTAGGGTTTAGGGTTTAGGGTTTAGGGTTTAGGGTTTAGGGTTTAGGGTTTAGGGTTTAGGGCTTTAAGGCTTGATGGATAATTCGGCCTTTTTGTTTAGGGATTACTTTTCAGGGTGCACAAAGCCTGAGCGAGTCACAGCTGAGCTCTTAAGAAGGGTCTCCGAAACACAGTTCATTCAAGGTTCAGCGACACTAAACCCTAACCCCTAGCCCCTAAAGCCTGAACCCGAAACCCTCTCTATCATATAGTATTTTAACCTAATGAAATTCGTGGGCAGGGCCCGAAAATTCGTGGGCAAGGCCCAACAATTCGTGGGCGCAAGGCCCGAAAATTCATGGGCAAGGCTCAAAGCCCAAAAAAGGGCCTTGTCTGCGAATTTTCGGGCCCAGGGAGTTTCGGGCCTTACGATTCGTGGGCAAAAATCCGGAAATTCGCGGGTAAGGCCCGAAAATTCGTGAGCAAGGCCCGAAAATTAGTGGCGTTTTTGGTTCCAGCGGAAAAATTGAAACCAGCTGTGTGGAACATTTTCCCTTGTATTTCTTTTTTGTCTTGGGGCTTTCTGGGTGGGTGGGTATTTCCCTAGTCCGAGCTGCCACTTGACTCGAGACTGCTCGACACGGAGCTACTGAACCCTAGACCCGAGACGCTAGACTCTAGACTCTAGACCATAGACCCTAGATCCTGAACCCTAAACCCTAAAAACCCAACCCCACACCCTGAGATGATTGCTGCAGACGGCCTGAGGGCAGGCAGAGAATCTCAAGATTCAGGCTATATTACTACTGTTTTCTCACCCTAAACCCTAAACCCTAAACCCTAAACCCCAAACCCTAAACCCTAAACCCTAAACCCCAAACCCTAAACCCTAAACCCTAAACCCTCAGTAAGCAGGTTCCCTGCAGCATCCCTTTAGAGGGCCATAGAAGTCTCGTTCTTCCCCCAATTCCTAAACCTTAATGTGGGGATACAAGGCATCTAATTCCCGAATTCCCTTTTTAAGGATATAAGGTATCTAATTCCCGAAGTCCCTGTAAGGATGCAGGGTACCTAGTTCCCTAATTCCCTTTTGAAGGATTTCTAAGTCCCTAGTTCCCTTTTTGAAGA